ATCCCTATCTGTTTAATACTATATAATGTAATCATGATTTCTGTTAAAATGTCTTTTCTATCTGATTGCCATGATTGTAAACTCATAATAGCTGCCATTGAGTCAGAGCATATTATTACTTTATCCGGTCTTACTTCATATACCCACTCTAATGCCATAAGGATAGCTACCATCTCTGCTGTATATACAGAAGTACCATCCGTATTTCTTCCAGCCTTCCTAACCTGAAATTCTGGAATGAAAAATGCTGCACCTGTCCTTCCAGTTTCTATGTTCTTTGATCCATCTGTGTAAATTTGGAGAAATGAATAATGCATATTTTTTATATATTCTTTAACGTATGCTTTTAAATTAAACCCCTCCCCCATTCCCTTAATTTCTTTATGTACATTTAAGTCAACTTCTGGTTGTTCTAATAACCAAGGTGCTATTGGAGGAGTTACTATTACCGATGCAAATTTATTTGATTCTATTCCAGTTTCATTGATCAATTTCTTAATTTTCCACGCAAATCCTTTACCTGGTTTATTTACTGTTTCCCAGCTTTCATTAAGTACTTCTCTTACAGGATTATCCTCTCTTTGGCCCTGAAGATTAATCCAATATGCCATGGCTAGTTTTTCTCTTCTTAAATGTAGAGGCATTTCTGAGGACTTCTCCTGTATTGCTGCAATTGAACCAATCTTAGTGCTTTAGCTTGCATAATATCTAGTTTCTTTAATAACATTGCAGATGCAGATTCATACACAATACATCCATAATCGAGAACTGATCTCATGAGTCCAATATATATATACACTTTAATGATTGCTTACCTGCAACCCCTCTCATTAAATTTAATACTTTACTACATTTCTTTATAATATAATCTATGTGGACTTTCCAAATTAATTTATCATCAAACCACATTCCCAAATATTTAAAATTAGATACTTTTTCTAATGCAGACCCATACAGTTTAAGCTGCTTATTTTCTTTCATTTTGTTGCGCTTCTTTCAGGAAACTGCAAAGGTTCAAGAAGACAATACAAAATAAATGTCCGCTATATCTACAGCATTTAAAAAAATAATTTCTTACTTATTCATTTCTCTTTTCCCATTGTTCTTAATATATAGGTTGCTGTTTTATAGTAATGTTTTAATGAATTAATATTTTTCACATACATGAATAAAAATACTTACTAAATAACACTGAAACTTTATTATGGTTAACACACTTGCCTGACTACCAGTGTGGTTTTACTGTATTCGCTTGTTCATGCTTGTTCTGAACTGCAAAAAATGCACCGATTTAAAATGTGAAAGAAAAAAAAACATTATTTACACTAGTTGTTAACAAGGACTAGATTAATTTAAAATACATGAAAAATTAAATCAGGTCAAATAAATAAATCAAGATAAATTTAAGGAAACATTTGCTTGTATCCATATGAACAGAAATACAGAGCAGGGATGAGGATGAAGGGGGTGGACCCCACAGAGATGGTTTAAAAACGGGGCGGGGTTTTGAATGAATGATAGGCTGAATCTCTGATGTAACACTGTACACATCGATCAGCAAAGGTGAGGGTGCAACAGATTATTATTACCTGTCATGGCATCTAAAATAATTTATTTTACCGTGAGTGGAAGACCAGAACAAGCTGAGTTTCCCATTGACTGTCCTGCACAAGATGTTAAAGGTAAGGATTGTCTCAAATATATTTCTCCTAGTCTAACTAGAATTTAATGAATTTATTATTATTGTTATTATTATTCGCTCAACAGTTCAACATTAATCTCATTTCAATAAACTACAAGACTTTGGGTTATATTTCTGTGTGTGCCTCAAAGGACAGCACACCAAAAACATTTTTATAAAAACAATGTTATACATTTTATTTAAAAAGTATTAAATTAACATAAATGATTCAATATATAAAATGTTATTATTATATAGTAATTATTTTTATATCATACAGATCATCAGATAAAAAGTGGTTTGTAAAAGCAGTCTTGCTCTATGAATGACAGCAGCTTTAATTCGTGTATCAACATCAAATAGAATTTCTTATATGAAAGTATATTAAAATATTCTTATATTAAAAGGAGTTTTTGTTATGACCAAATTGGCTCTCTGCCCTCATTAGCTTTTATTCTGCTGAAAACAAGCTTGAGGACTCTTCTCATTCTCAAGGGCAGTGACAAAAGCCAGGCTTCTTTAATCAGGTCCTCTCAATTACAGCGAGCCCATATGAAGAGCTATTCTGTTGACCTGGACAGCTAATACAACATAAGGGATGCTCAGATGATGATCTTATTTTTTAATCTTTCTTTTTTATATGAGACTCCAATCCTCTAGAGAACTATCAGACTGCTAATTCACTTTTTATCTTCCATATTGACTCATGGGCGCATTAGTGAATTTGTAGTCACAGATTGTGAGTCAGAAACAAATCAGCTGTCATACTTCAGTTTGCCAGCTTGAGTCACAGGTGGTGCAGACAGTCAGTCAGTCTTCAAGTGCCAAGCAGTGCCCTAATGGAAACATATGGCATATTCAATACAAGTCACACATTATAAAGTGCTTTAATCGCATGACTTGAGGAAATTTCCGTGTACCTCAGTTACGAAAATGAGAAATGTGATGATGAATTATATCTGCCACATTAATGAAAATGTGTGTGTGTGTGTGTGTGTGTGTGTTTGCATCACAGATCTTTTCCGAGCAGCAGCTGAGGCAGGACCTCATGACATCCTAAAACTCTACAATACTAAAGGCAATATCATTAATATTTCCCCTCAGCTGGCCCCAAATAGTCCTCACTCCTGCTATAAACTGGAAGTGGTCGCTGCAGACTGTAACAGTGAGCTGTTAGGTATTCTCCACCTTAGCACTAGAGAGCTATTGTACTGATAAACCTATGAATAAACATAATGTGATAGATGCTACACATAACCTCTTGGATCATGTTGAACTCTATCTTCTAGGCTCAGATCTGGTTGTTGCTCTGGGATTTGAGCTCTCTTCTATGGAGAAAAGGTAAGGTTGGGAGATATTTGAAAGGCACACTCTCTGTATGACAAATTACTTAGAGTGACAGAATTTTAATTTTTGGTAATATTTAATAGCCATAAAAGTAGCATGCATGCATAAAACACCTATACTACCTTACAGAAATCACAGCATAAGAAATCACACCTGTCTGTGATGGTAGCATAAGAAGAGTCATGGTGGCCTGTGGCTTTTAGCAGTCAGAAAACTAGCCAATCAGAGAGATCCTCTGCCTGTCAATCATTTTGCACATTCATTATTACTGAACTGGTTGGCTGATGTGTCTTTAAGGATGGGGTTTTGATGAGAGAGCAGGGTTTTGAGGTTCGCAAAATTGCTTGTAGGACATTTTATATGTGCCACAAAGTTTGGCTCATATTTTATCCCAAAATACATGATAATAATGATCCAATCAAATTATTTTTAAACAGGTTACAGAGCCTGGAGAAAAGAATCCTAACTGAAGCAGCAGAGACCCCTGTCATTGTGTATGAGATGAAGAGACAGGTGGAGTCATTCAGAGAGAAACTGGAGGTATGAACGCTGAACTACTGTGTCTGAGATTTTCCATCTGCACCATTAAGGGAATTTAATGGATTCCATCTATAGCTTAATATTTTTGTTGAAGCAAGGATGGACTCAAATGATCAAAATTGACAGTAAAAACATATTTAAACAGCATGTGCATATATCTATATATCTATATCTATATCTATCTATATCTATATCTATCTATATATATATATATATATATATATATATATATAAACTTTCTATTCATCAAAGAATAGAGTATGATTAGAGAACAGTTTCTACAAAAATATTAAGCAGCCAAAATTGTTTTCAACATTGATAATAATAAGAACCGTTGTTAATATTTGAGCACCAATAATAATTTATAATAATTGAGCACCAAATCAGTATATTAGAATGATTTCTGAAGGATCATGTGACACTGAAGACTGTAGTAATGGCTGCTGAAAATTCAGCTTTGCCGTCACAGAAATAAATTACATTTGACCATATATTAAAATAGAAAATAATAATTAAAAGTTTTTAATAACATTTCACAATATTACAGTTTTTAGTGTATTTTTGATCAAATAAATGCAGCCTTTGTGAGCATAAGAGATTTCTTTAAAAATCATTTAAAAAAATTTAATTATTCCAAACGTTTGGATTTTGGTCTTACCATCTTCTTGTTTTTTTTTTTCTTTGACCAGTAAATATATTAAATAAAATAAAAATTAATATGTCAAGCCCTATATATAACATGATGTCTTTCTCTGTAGAGTGTTGAGCACCTGAGCTGGTTGGGATTGTTTAAGGACATGTCAGAAGGCACCCACAAGCCCTCCCCTTTCTACCATAAAAGAACCCTGCGCAAGACCCGTGAGGAGTGTGAGCACGTCAGGGAAAAGTTCCTCCAAATGAGGTGACATTCCCGTCTCTTATGTGTAAGGGTGTAATATGTAATTGCATTTTTTAAAGAATCAAACATGCACAAAAGAAATAAAAGAATTGCTTCTGATTTACTTTCTGTAGTCCTCTGGAGGTTTCTGAAGAGGTGAGACAGTATCTTAAAACACCAACCTTTGATAACTGGTAAGTTTTTAATATATCTCTCACACACTTTCTTTTCCTTCTTATGTTCACCACACAGAATACTTCTGGCAATTCCCTATAATTATTTAAAGGGGTCATATGATGCGATTTCAAGTTTTCCTTTCTCTTTGGAGTGTTACAAGCTGATTGTGCATAGATAAGATCCCTGAAGTTGCAAAGACTAAAGTCTCAAAACCAAAGAGATATTCTTTATCAAAGTTAAGACTCTGCCACGCCGCCCTAAAATGGCTCGTTCTAACACGCCCCCACATATCTACCTCACTATGTGGAAATATTTGCATAATGCACCCAAATGTGCACGCAAAGAAAGAAGGCGTGGTTTCAGGCGCAAAACCCGAGAAGAGTGTGAGCACGTCAGGCAAAAGTTCCTCCAAATGAGGTGACATTCCCAAAATTCATTATTTAAAATCTAATGTGAAAAAAATTAAATTAAATTAAAAAATTGAGGGGGGTGGGGTGGGGGGGAAACTATTTTTTCATGATTCTCCTGTATCTGTATCCTGTTATTATTGTAAAAGTTCAATAAACAGATTTAATAATAAAAAAATATATTTAAAATTGCTTCTGATTTATTTTATCTAGTTCTCTGGAGGTTTCTGAAGAGGTGAGACAGTATCTTAAAACACCAACCTTTGATAACTGGTAAGTTTTTAATATATCTCTCACACACTTTCTTTTCCTTCTTATGTTCACCACACAGAATACTTCTGGCAATTCCCTCAACATATTCTGTTACACCAAATACACAAAATATGACCCCTTTAACCTGGATATGACTTGTTTTTGTAAATAAACGAAAAACCAGGAGTCTCCCCAGTGGCTGCAGCCACATCAAAGTCCTGCACCTGTCATACATGAATAGGAAATTGTTAGTGAAGCAAAGCACAGCACTTCTAAATTAAGCATAAAGAACAAGGCGGAGATCATGCCTTTCATCTGCCCAAAGGGCCTCATATTAATATAAATGGTCCTGTTTGTGGTTTGCAAATCAAAAGCACTTCTTATGAGAGCAAAGGGCTGGATTTCCGTGTTCATTAATGCAATAGTCTTCCAAGTGGACTTGGTGAAACCAGGCTTTAGCTTCAGGTTAACACAACAAGATATGATTCCTTCTAAGGGGTAACAGGAAGATAAAGATTTTGTGCTGTTGTAGGCAATGGGAGGACGCTGAGATCATGGTGCTGCTCCAGGTGATGTACACAGATCTGGACTTCATCTCCACCTTCAACATTGAGCTGGACGTGCTGCAGCAGTTCCTTTATGAAGTGTACCGACGCTACAATAACATCCCCTTCCACAACTTCAAACACTGCTTCTGCGTCACTCAGATGGTAGCCTCAGCTTCAGGATTTCTTCCAATCACTCCAATTGTCCACTTCTCCATCTGCTTGATTAATAAATGTCATGCCCCAGACAGCCATCATTTCACTCATAGCACAGCTGCCAAACGTTAATTGTAATTTTACTGGAATCAGCTGTCTGTTTTCCTTAAGTGTCCCATTAAGTCTCTATCCAATGGGTGATTGTTGTAGAGAAAGAGAAAATTATAGTGTGTGTGTAATTCATGTTTTTGAAGGTCAGTGAAGGTTGAAAGTCAGTCATCTGTCCATCCATCCATCCTCGTGGGCCACATATATACACATTATATTACCATATATAAATAATTAAACACATTATAATATATAAATTCATAAATGTTAATACATATAATAGATTAATTAAATAATAAACAATTCACATTTTGAATTTGTATTTGTATTTTTAAAATGATTTTGGGTTTCGTCAACTGGCCCAACAGGAAAAGTCCTGGCCACTAATATCTGTGTCCATCTGTTTGTCAGATGTATGGACTGATATGGCTAACAGATCTCAGAAGCAAGATGGATAGTATTGACCTCCTCATCATGCTAACCTCAGCCATCTGTCACGATCTAGATCACACCAGCTGTCTGTTTTCCTTAAGTGTCCCATTAAGTCTCTATCCAATGGGTGATTGTTGTAGAGAAAGAGAAAATTATAGTGTGTGTGTAATTCATGTTTTTGAAGGTCAGTGAAGGTTGAAAGTCAGTCATCTGTCCATCCATCCATCCTCGTGGGCCACATATATACACATTATATTACCATATATAAATAATTAAACACATTATAATATATAAATTCATAAATGTTAATACATATAATAGATTAATTAAATAATAAACAATTCACATTTTGAATTTGTATTTGTATTTTTAAAATGATTTTGGGTTTCGTCAACTGGCCCAACAGGAAAAGTCCTGGCCACTAATATCTGTGTCCATCTGTTTGTCAGATGTATGGACTGATATGGCTAACAGATCTCAGAAGCAAGATGGACAGTATTGACCTCCTCATCATGCTAACCTCAGCCGTCTGTCACGATCTAGATCACACCGGCTACAACAATGCATACCAGGTGGGATAGCTGTTGTCTCAAGATTTGCTGCTTTTCAGTACACAGCATAAACTGATGGAAGTATGTCCTGTTTCAGATTAATGCACGCACTGAGCTCGCCTTGAGGTACAATGACATCTCCCCACTGGAAAATCACCACTGCGCTGTAGCTTTTGAAATCTTGGAAAAGGTCAAAAACTTTTACAACCAAAAAACTAAAGTTTTAGTAAGCTTTATATTTTGAATGTTTAAGCTTATGGTAGAGAAATGAACATTCAATTCACGGGCAACAGCTCTGCTGGACATTCCTGCAGTCAGCATGCCAATTGCACGCTCCCTCAAAACTTGCGACACCTGTGGCATTGTGCTGTGTGATAAAACTGCACATTTTAGAGTGGCCTTTTATTGTGGCCAGCCTAAGGCACACCTGTACAATAATCATGCTGTCTAATCAGCATCTTGATATGCCACACCTGTGAGTTGGATGGATTATCTCGGCAAAGGAGAAGTGCTCACTAACACAGATTTAGACAGATTTGTGAACAATATTTGAGAGAAATAGGCCTTTTGTGTACGTAGAAAAAGTCTTAGATCTTTGAGTTCAGCTCATGAAAAATGGGGGCAAAAACAAAAGTGTTGCGTTTATAATTTTGTTCAGTGTAATTCTGTACTATGGATTATGTATGTATTGTATGCTCATTTTCTATATGCATGAAATACTAACATGAATTATTTTTCAGACTGAAAGCAACATTTTCCGAAACTTGTCGCCAGAGCAATTCAAAAGAATAAGAGAGGGCATAATTAAGTATATCATTTACTCTTCTATCATCTCAACAACCATATCAAACCAGAAACTAGGTCAAAACTGACCAGCTTCTCATCACTGCAGGTGTATTCTTGCCACTGATATGACCAGACATACTGAGATCCTCAACAAGTTCAAAGCCATTCTCCCTGTGTTTGACTTCAGCAACAAAGATCACAGAGATGTGGTAAGGACAGTGAAATTCATAATGGTCAATCAATGATCAAACCAAGAAAACCCTAGCGACACCCTAACAACCACACATTTCACCCTAGCATCATGGTGGCCAGTTAAAAGCACTTGACGATGATCCACTTCCTGTCTGGCTGCTTCTTTCACAGTTGATGATGATCATGATTAAAGTAAGTGACATCTCCAATGAGGCGAGACCCATGGATGTGGCAGAACCGTGGCTGGACTGTCTGCTGCAGGAGTTCTTTAATCAGGTAAATATGGCTAACTTTGTTTAATAATCAAACATCTCCCAGTGTCCCGTTGGGAGTACAATTTTTATTTTAAACAACAGTACTTTGTGCTTTTATGTTATCTAATGCAAAAAAAAGAGTGACATGGAGAAGTTGGAGGGTCTTCCTGTCACTCCGTTCATGGATCGAGACAAAGTGACTAAACCGTCTTCTCAGACTGGATTCATTCGATTCGTTCTCTTTCCTCTCTTCATTGAACTGGCCAATCTGTTCCCCTGTCTGGAGGTGAGGAAGTTCCCAGAGGAAAATCTTTGTGACATTCACTAAACATTAATAAGTTAGGAGAACTCAAACAATTTGAGGAAATTTAAAGGCAAGATACTATAAGCAAAACCACTATGTTTTCAGGCACTAGTCAGTTTTGATATTTTGACCAATTTTGCTTCCATAACATGCCTTCTTTCAGATTAGTGGAAAGAAAACATCCAAAATACACATTTAAGTGTTTATTTTATTACACGTCATATATTTGCATCTGTAGATTTCAGTTACCATGCAAAGGATTTGAAGGCTGCTTTCTCAAAGTGAGCCTGAAATCTTCAGTAGCTCTTACATATTCCAAAGTTTACGGTTTTATTATATATTCTGAAGGTTTTTCACAGGGCCTTATTCATATAACATCCGCCTGACTTTTTATTCAAAACATTTTATTCCAAAAAAACATGTTGGATTTTTTCACCCCCCTGAATGTTTGTCAGTATTGTCTGATTTATAGAGTGATAAAAAGAGATATACTAAATCCCCTTTGTAAAAAAAAACGTTAACTCTATGATGTAAACAAAATGAAACAAGAATTTTTGAACCTGGCTTCATCTGATGTTCAGATTTCTGTTCTTGAAATGTATGCAAGTTAGTGCATATTAAAAATATGCCTCATTTGCATTTCCAAGCACACAGTTACAGAAAACATGCTATACAAAATGTAATGTCTTAAGGTACTGTAATTATAACAGTTTAAAAAAGAAGTTAATTTCACCTGCCTTAAGTTAATAAACTTTAAGATTTAGATTTTTTTCTATGCGAGTATGTTAAATAGCACTGAACTTGAAATGTTAATTAATCTAATTCATGCAGTTTGATTAACTGAGATCTGCCATGCTGTCTAGAAATAATTGAGATTATACAGAGATATAATATTGAAATAATTTTAGTTTTTTTAAGTGGTCGAGCACTACTTTTGTCTAATGTTGCTTTTAATCGCGAACAACAGTTGAAAATATGAATATTCCTTTATGCAATTCTTTGGCTCATTTTCCAGGTGTTCTCAGAACAAACATTTCTAGCTCTTACTTCTGACTTTACAGCAACACATCATTGACCCTGTGCAGAAAGCCCTGGATTATTACACAGAGATGGAGAAAGCTCTGGAGAGGGAGAAACAGAACTGGGCCCAGAGTGAGAAGATGGTCAAGCCCAGCAACTTAAAAGAGCCAGAAGCTCATCCAGAACCTGGTGGGATGACAAAACCAGTCAACTTATAATCTAACCTCACACTGTTAAATGTTCATACTTATAATCAGAATGCAAGTTGAGTTTCAGAATTGTGCTTTAAGGCTTAAAGTGAACTTATGTATGCTACTTTTACTAAATGTGTATATATTCAAACAAGGGATGAATAGTTTCACTAAATATATACAAAGTGATAATTACAAATAATTACAAAGTGATTCATTAACTTACATTTAGCCTTTTTCTAATTTAATTAAACATTTTTCATTACAGGTTATCAACATAAAAAGTTGAGTGAAAATGGAAAAATTTGAATGAATATCAGAATGTCGTATCTCACGCTTTTGCATTAATGACAGCATCTGAAATAAAACTACTTACTAAAAATACTAAAATCACAATGTCTGCTGAGAATAGTTTTTCTTTGTCAAGATAGTCTTGAAAATGAATGTAATTAACATGCAGTTACCCCAGAAGATGGCGCTACTAGAAGCTACAATTTCATAGGCATGAGAGAGGAGGCTATAAATGGAACTGTACTGTTAAATTATGAAAATAAGCGATTGTCACTGCTAATTACAGTATAGGAATTGTTATAAATATTGAGTGAGGTTAGTCTCGGATTCTACTGTGCAACTGAAAATGTGCTATTGAAGAGTTGAGTGTCAAAAACAGAATTCATCACAGCACTCTTTTACATTCAAATTTATTTTACAAAAGAAAACTTCATTTTACACATATATTTCCCAAAAACCATATAGTGTCTCTTTAATTTGACGATGCAAATGGAATATTATGCATGCAGTTTTGCATTTCTCTCAAATACCGTCCTGCACAAGTAATACCCACAATTCCATTTGAACTCCATTTGAAGCCATTAAGTTGCAGAGGCAGGTAAAGCATTAGCATGCAGCACTGTACACATTTGCATAGTAAATGGCTTTCACTTATTTTGGATTAATTTCTCATCGTCCCTTACCAACATGCCATTGCATGAAACAGAACTTTCACTGAGGAAAAAAAATCATCTATTATTCTCAGGAAGGAAGGAAGGGGAAAATGGTTTTATCGGGGCAGTGGTGTAATATAGGAAGTACATTGTTCGTTTTTTTACAAAATGAATGAATTCTGATGAGTTGTTGACAATTTCCCACAAACAATCTAAATATAGGATGAAAATGCTTAACACACCTTTAACTGAATTGAGTTCACAGAGCTCTTAAAAAGAGGCATCGAAAGAAACCTTCTGTTTGCAAAAGTTGAAAAAAAAATCAAGCATGTACCTTATTAAAAAGTTAAGGCATAAAGTTACTGGCAGGGAATGTGTTGACTGAAATTGAAAAAATAGTAATATGAGTAATTAATAATAATAACAGCAATGGTGGTCCTGAGTGTTGGCTACAGTACTGACACCAAAAGTGACCAAAGGACCTTGAGATATAAGTTATGGAACACACACCAAAATCTGGGGGAAAATGTATATATACAGTATATACTGTGTATATATATATATATATATATATATACATAAACTATTAGTTACATTGAGGATGTCCACAAATAGAAGGTTACATAAGGACACTAACTAATGTCTAGATTAACTTCTAAAAATGCTGAAAGTGTTTTTAATAGTCAATAGTAATAATAATCATGAATATTATTTCAGAACAATACTGTCAACTGGTTCCTAATTAGCTCTTTATACATTTATAGTGTGAATCCTCACATTCTATATGCTTCTGAGAATGTTACTGAACCTGCTTTAAACAAGACAACAGAATGTTATGTTTTTTTTCTTTTATGGTTTATGAAATATTGCACATGGATAATGGCGTGGGCAGGAGAAACGGGAGTGGCAGTGATCAGGGAATAAGGACACTTTACCCAAACTACATCGACTTCTACTGGCCCCTCAACTGCAGCAAGAAACTTAAAAAAAATTTACTGAATGCTTTCTAATGCTACAAACGGTTTATACTGAAAATAGCTCGGACAGAGTTTCTTTCCTACTGGTTCTGCACACGGCAAATCCAGTAGTTTATTACTAAAACTACCTCTTCAGAACTGCTCACACGTAGAACATACAGCAGAATGGAAACGGAATAAATCGAATCATTTCCACACCAAACATATAGTATTAACACTCAGATATGATTCAATCTAAACTATATGAAGCCACTGAAGGATATGGACCATATGCTTTTTGCAACACAGAAAGTATAAAACTGAATCGACACTGTTTTTGTTCCATCTCTGAGCATTACAAACACACAGCGATCTCTGTGAGAGGAAACACTGTACAACACAACACAATTAAGGTAATCAAATCAGATTGCAGAACTGTTGTGATTTGCAGTACCAGGAAACGAGTCGAGAAAAATGCAAATGTCAAGATCCGGACAACATTTAAATAACTGTGCTAACATCAATTACAAGCATTGTCTGGAGCTGTTTATGAAACATATTTAGCATTTTTCATTGAATAAATGACATTGAAATGGAGACATATCTAACACACTACAAAACAAAATCTGATGTTTTTTGTCAAAATCACAAAAGCCATCAGCATAACCAAGTAGTTCTGCACATGTGAAGGCAGGAATGACACCCGATTTGTTCATCTGAGCACTTCAGTGTGTGTGAACAGCTTTTGCAAACAGGCCTGATGAAAACAACTAAAGAAAAACATTTACAGATAAAGCTATCAAGCAAAACAAAAAATAAAAAAAGCATTTCCTTTTATAGTTTTTATGTTGTATCTTAGTCTAAAGTCTAATTTTAATTCCAATACTAAGTGTACCTGCTATGGCAACCAGTAACTATACTATAGGTCAGGCACGCACTAAATAGTTCAAGACTAGTAGCAGTCGTAATAATCGATGACTTGTTTCATAAAGCTTAATAGAACAGAGAAACTTTATGGTGATCCACAGACCTGACTCTGGGTACGTTTACACGACAACAATGTACTAAAAACAGAAAAGTTTTGCGTATAGATGACAACATTATCAAAACGATCCCCGCTCACATTGATACTAAAACGCTGTATTATTCATGCCAGAACAGTAGTTGGCAATGTCACTTTGTAAAGAAACTCTACGCAAACACGTAATATGCTTGCGCATCACCGTTATCAGAAATTTTTGTAGTTTACACAGAGGCGATAATGGTATCGTTTTCAAAAACTTGCACTTTGATTTCAAAAGTTTGCGTTTTCAGGCCCCCCAAAAGGCCATTGTCATGTAAATGAACATTTTAAGGTGTCTTTGTTACAGTGTAATTATACATTTAAGTACTGAGTAATATTAATTAACAACATGTACTTACTATATGGTTAGGTTTAGGATTAGTGTTTGGCTTAGGGCTACTTGCATGTACTTATGCATAATTAATTGTTATTGTAATAGTAAGTACATGTAACATGTGTAACAAGGCCACCTTAAAATAAAGTGTTACCAAAACATTTTCCATTTTTAGTTGAAAATGGTGTTGAGTAAAAGCTGCCACATATTTTAATGACACAGGCTACTGTGCTGTTTCAGTCAGAAAACAAGAGTGTGATATGAGCTCAACAAAACGCCTGAGAATCTCACAAAACATGCTCAGGCCACATTTCACCAAAAATAAATAAATAAATAAAACCTTATATATAGCATAAAGAAAAAATGTATTATAATATTTGAATGATAATTAAGCACATTTTACTCTCAAATTCTTATTCATTACCATAATATGTATAGTATTTTTTTAACCATTATTTTGAAATGAAAGGCAATACAACAAATACTATCATGATGCATAATTCTTTACAATGTAAACAAAACAAATCTGTTTTCACAAAATCATGAGCTTAATTTTCATGAAAAAATGTCACAATGCAAGTTTTGATGGTCCTAAAACACACTTCATTGTATTAATATTGTTTATTCTTATATTTATTTTTAAATTTAGATGATTTTTTTCTTTCTAGATGATTTCCATAATCTGGAAATCTTGTAAGGTTTCATGAGATTCGTTCTTTTACTATTACATTTACAACCAAGTATTAAAATAATTTAAAATAATAAAATCTACCTGATACTGGTACTCTGGCATACTTTTTTGCAACAACATCCCACTTGTAGGCCTGGGCAAAGCGCTGAGTGAACTACAGGCATTATGGTGTATGTAAAAAGGGATAATTTGTTGCTATCTTTTGTGTTTTGCTCAGAAAAGTGTGTTGATACTATCTGCAGATATCATTACGAAAATAGACCGCGGGAAAAGAAACCTCTTGGGAGTTTGGCACCTATGAAGAATTCCTGCTTCGTACCTGAGGCTGCTTGGGCAAAAGAAGAGAGATCTAAGATAAATACTAAGACAGGAAGAAACAAAACAGCAAATGCATTCCATTGGCTACTGAAATCTTGCAAAAAGGCTCTGATTGGCTCTTGGCACTGTTGAGCATTTCTGCATGCCGGCACTAGTTCAGGGTAAAAATGAGCATGACACCAAGAAACGTCCTGCAAATATAGACAGTGCAGGGCTTTGGTTGGCAATTAGACGCAGGGCTTAGGCCTCTACTAGGAGAAATTGGATAGACCAGATGGTACTATAGCTGTCACTCCTCCAGGAGAGCATCTTAACTCAACCATTGCAGATAAAATCAGCTCCTCCAACTGCCTGACAAGAGATGCGCAAGGGCTGCAAACAACTGCCTTACATAGACGGAACGGGTGCTCGGATTTTGCTTTTAGTTAAGATGGCCCATAGATGGGGGCCTGTGTCAGAGTGAACGCAATGCACTGCATTTACAGAAAGGGTTTACATAATTACATGAGGTTTATCTCATAGCTCTGGCTGTAGTGGTTTGGACGTTCAGAGTCTGTGCCGTGATTCGTTACTGTAGCCCCCAGGGGAGCCCTGGTTGCGGTGAGGTTTGTACGCGTCTTGATAGGGATCATGGTAGTCCTCCTCTACCAGAGGGTAGTGGTCTCGACTTTGCTGGGAGCTGGAGGACAGGCGGTTATGACTCTTCTTTTGCCGCTCGTTGTTGTGGTAGTTCTCATCGGA